GCCTTCGGCTGCAAGAGGATAGGCTGGGACGCTGTCCTCGGCGAGGGTGCCTTCACATCAGACGAGTCTGACCCGTCCATCACACACCAGATCGTCGACAGGCCGGTGGTACAGGCCGCCATGAACGAGGAGGGCGACGGTGAGGACAACCAGACGGAGCAGAAGGTTGGGCCGAACCACCGGTATCCCGGGCGGGTGTACGTGCAGCCGCAGTGGGTGTGGGACAGCGTCAACGACGAGGAGCTGAAGAGCCCCGAGCTCTACGCCCCCGGCGCGGCGCTGCCCCCTCATCTCAGCCCCTTCGTCAAGTCCACGCAAGGGCAGTACGATCCTACTATTCCCCTGGAGGAGCAGCAGACAGAAGGCGAGGCCATCGACGCCCAGCTCGAGGAGGACAACGAGCACGCGCAGGATGGCGAGGAGTCCGAGGTCGAGAACGACATGGACATTGCTTCTGACGAGGAAGAGGAAGAGGAGGGAGAGGGCTCTATTGTCGGGCTCTCTGGAGAGGAGGAGGAAGAGGCCGGCTCGGAGGACGAGGAGGAGTCGGCGGCGCTGCAGCGGCAGATCGAGCTCGAGGCCGAGATCTCGGGCAAGTCGGTCAAGGGCGACAAGAAGGTGGACCCCAAGACCAAGGCGAAGCTGGAGGCTAAGAAGGCGCTCGAGCGGAAGAAGCGTGAGGAGGCCGAGGACCTGGAGCGGGCCAAGGGCATGCTCAGCAAGAAGAAGCGGAAGCTGTTTGAGCAGATGCAGTACACCAACAACAAGAAGAGCGCCGAGGACATGAAGCTGCGGGAGAAGCGGAGGAGGCTGGAGAAGGAGACGGCAAAGAAGGCGTAGTGTATTTCTGTTTGGGTTTGGGAAAATATAATGAGATACCATGAGTGGCTGGCTGTGGTTTCTATTGCCTGGTGAACATTTATTTCCCAGTTTTTGTTGACCGCTTATTTTAACCAGACACTTTTGTCGATTTCAACTAGACGGTGATATGCCTGCAAATGTGTCAACCTGTCCCTCGACTAAACAGTTGAAGTCTGTCGGTGCTGCTGTCAAGGGTTGGGGTTAGAAGAAGTTTATCTCGATTTCCTCACCCTTCCCTGTCACTTACTCAACTTTCAACCTTCAACCACCAAAAAAGCCTTTACACATTGCGATTACCTCACCTTCACTTCACTCTGCTACATTTTGGGCTTTAAATCCATCTTATTCGAGTGGCAATCTCGAATTTGAGAAAAAGTCAAATCAACACAATTTTCTCTGAAACCTCACCCGAGAATTAGGAGAAAATACTGCACTCAACATCAACAACTACTCCGAAGTTCCCAAGCCATCCAAAATGTCCTCCCAACCCGACCCACCTCAACCTCAACCTCAACCTCAACCCCAATTCAACACATCCATGCCCACAAATGACATAGACGACGACAACGCCAACTCCCCCTCCCCCTCCTCCCCCGACTCAGACGACCTGCACGACACCCGCCCCAACCGCTGGCGCGGCCAGCCGTCGACCTGGAAGACCTGGACCGAAAGCGACCGACGCACCTGGTCTGCGCTGGAGAATGTGCGCAAGGAAGACCTGGCCGTGCATTTGTACAATGCGTTTGGGTTGAGGCGGGGCTTTCGGGAGGGGCCTGCAGAAGTCGAAGTCGAGGTTGAGATTCAGGATCAGGACAGTGGTGGGTGGGAGCCGGGAAAGGGGTGGACGGCTTGGCCTGTCAAGGTGGACGAGGTGCCTGATGATGGGCTGCTGGCGCGGATGCATACGCGGGGGGATGTGAATGAGCCGTTTACGCTGCGGCGCAGGGAGGGGGATGGCTGGGGGATGTTTGCGGGGTGTAATTTGGAGGAGGAGGTCTCGGCTGTGATGCTGCGGTGTGCGAAGGAGAGGTTTTGGAGGAGGGACTTTTTGCAGGGTAAGGAGGAAGAGGTTGTTGTGCAGTCTATTGAGAAGGGCGATGCGGCTGCTACCGAGGGCGAGACGGATGTGTCTGATACCGCGGCGACGACGGGCCGGGAGGAGGAGGAGGAGGAGGAGGGGGAGACGGATGAGCCGCCGCGCAGGACACCCCGGCGCAGGCGGAGAGCGGTCTCGCCCACTTTTACGCCGGTCGGGTCGGCTGACGATGACCGGTCGTATGCGCTGCTTCGCCCGACGGCGAGACGGATCATGTCCAAACTTGACGACACGCTGATGATATTGCATAACCAGCGCATTGCTGGTCTCGGTAATATGTCTGAGTCCTCTGCTAGTGACGAGGACGAGACAGACGCCGAGGCAATGTCGGAGCGGCCGTCTCGGGTTCCGCCAAAGTCCCTATCTGCTCCAAAAGCTCGCGGGGGGGGCAGACCCAAGAAGGTGCATGTCCCGCAAGAAGGTGAGACGGAGCAGGACATGCTGATCAGAGTGGCTCGCGCAGGAAAGAGGAAGTTACCCGCATTTTCGTCCAACATATCGGAATCTGGGGAGGACACTGAGCGCAGCAGAAGCAGGAGCAGGAGCAGGAGCAGGAGCGTCAGCAGAGGACGAAGGTCGGTGTCGGCGGCAAGTTCGCGGGCCAGTTCCAAGCCAGGGAAGTCGGGGTCTAGGAGCTCCAGCGCCTCGTCCGAGGCAAACAGAGAGAAACTTCTCATCAGATGGGGTGTGCGAGATTGGCGGGACGTGCTGGGCGCTGCTGCTCTGGCTGGTTTCTCGCCAGAAGTCATCGCCCGTGCCACCCAGAGATGCTCGACGCTTTTCAGGGAGGAGATGACGATTCACACGCTGCACGAGCAGTCTGCTACATCCGATAAGGCCGGAGTAGAGACGCTGCGGTACGTTCCAGGGGTTCCTCTCCCTCCATCCTCGGACGAAGACGACGACTCCGAGGAAGAGTTGATCCAGCTCCGTACGATCAGCCGCCAGTCGAGTGTCTACCTCGCCGGTGCGTCATCACCAGAGCCAGAGTCAGAAACACCCGCCCCTCGCCGCAGCCGGTCAGGCACGCCGGGCCCCCTGCGGTGCCCCCATGTAGGCTGCCCGAGAGCTGTCGAGGGGTTTACGAAAAAGTCCAACATTGAGAGGCATCTCAAAACCGTGCACAAGAACCAGCCACCCGAGTCTACCGAGCCGGAGCTTACAGAGGCTGAAACCACAGGGAGACGTCGCAGCCGGTCGGGCACGCCTGGCGTCGCCCATCTCTGCCACTACCCGAACTGCCCCAGGGCCATTGAGGGGTTCACCAGGCGGGCAAACCTCGCGCGACATCTGCAGACGGTGCACGGCAAGCGGGCGGCCCAGTTCACCGAATACGAAGAGGACAGCGCGGACGAGATGGACGGCGGCGTGCACGTGGACGGGTTCCTACAGCCGATCAAGATCAGAAAGGGGTGGCGAGGAGATGACACGCAGCGACGGCCACCCAGGTCCAGAAAGAGGGCCAGGGCGGGATCAGAGGAGCTCTGAACTCGAGATTTTCTGTGAGCAGCATCGCTGTCTGTCTATCAGCAAAAAATGAGAAAGCTACCGGACTCTTTTTTACTTCTTCTGTTTCGCCTTCTCAGCAAACTGCCTGTCGACCTCATCAGCAAACTCCCCGATCGTCTGAAACGTCCACTCAGACCCAAGCTTCCCAGACCCCTTGATCGCCTCATATCCCCCCCCAATGCCAGACGCCTCCAGCTTATCCCCGCCCCTCGCAATCCACACGCTCCTGATCCCGAGCTCCTTCGCAGGCACATGGTCGTGCAGCAGACTCCTCGCCACATGCAACAGCTCCTCATCCCGCTCCACCAAAAACTCCCGCTTGACCCCCGCCCGGAGATAGTTGAAATTCGCATGGTCCGGCTTATAACTCCCAATCTGCTCGGCCGTGTACACGGCGTCAAACTCGACCCCGGCCAACGGCCCCCCCCCCATCATGGCCCGCGCAATGTTCCGGTCGTCGACATTGCTCAGCAGCACGAGCTTGTAGTGCCGGCGCAGCCGCCACAGCCCCTCGAGGGTATCGCTGAACGCGGGCCACCGGCTGGGCCCGGTCGCGATCGTCTCTGCGACGCCCTCGGGGAGGGTGATGCCTTGCCCCGTGGCGAGCAGGCGCGCCGACTCGACCAGGTTGGCGTCGTAGGCGAGGGTGGGTCGGGCGCGGTTGAGGTGGTACGAGTAGTTGTCGAACTGCTCGAGGGCGAGCATAGGGTTGGCGTGCCAGGGGTGGCCGGCGGGCAGGGCGCTGATGATGGGGGCGATGTCGGCGGCCAGGCCGGCTTCCCAGTCTATGAGGGTGCCGTAGCAGTCGAAGGACAGGGCGCGGAAGGTGGTTAGGTCGGTGGTGTTGGTGGTGGTGGACATGGTGGTGGGGTGTTTGCTTGGGTTGTGTCAAGGTATGGAGTGGGGGATGGGAAGTGAGATGGGAAGCGAGATGGATGATGATATTGGCGTCTCTTGAGCAAGACGTGACAGTATATAGTATATATAAGTCAATCATACTGCATCTAACCCCCTCGCTGTGTAACCCCCTCCACTGCGCTGCCCCTCCTCACGGAACACTCGCCGATCGCAGCGGTTATCTCGGGTCTCCTGTCCCCCATACGCCGTGCTTCGGCCTGCATCAATCCACATCGGTGAACCCGCCGAAGACTCACCCGGCGAGGATGGGGCCTGACGGGCGTATCGGGTGCCAACCCCCGCATTTCCATCGGCCGTGTGTCCCTGCAGCATCTCGGAAGGGCGGGGCCGATCACACCTAGCCGAGCTTGTTGATTTGATACCAAAAGGGCACAGGACGCACACCCCAGATATTTCCACATAAATCCTCGCAAGTGACCAACTACACTTCATCAGTGTTGTACATATCTAGGTACAGTACCACAACCACATCCCCCCCCAAAAGTAAGTGGTGTAGGTATGCAGCAGCAGTGGATCCCACCTCCACCTCCAGAGTCCACCTCCACCCCCACGGCCCCCCCTGAGTAAAAAAACACGACAGCGGACCCCCTCCACCAACAACTCCATTGACTGGAATGGCAAGGTGGCCGAGCGGTCTAAGGCGCCACGTTAAGGTCCACAACCCTTAATCATCTTCTCCCAGAGAATCCGTGGTCTCGAAAGGGGCGTGAGTTCGAATCTCACCCTTGTCAACACAGAACCCCCCCAGTGTAGGGGACACAAATCTTTTTTTCAGGGGTTGAAGAAGTTTGTTGTTTGTGCCTCTGAACTTTTTTTGTGGGACCTAGGGTTTTTTATGTTATCAGATTTGCCTGTCTGCCTGTCTTGTCTGTCTGTCCACTCACTGCTGGATAAGAGTGAGACGAAGAGTGAGTAGATAAGAATAATAAGCAGCTGTCGTATCATAACAGCCAGCCATGGAGTTTTGAATTAAAGAAAATCCCAACTTGAACCGTACGGGTATCGGTGCTCAGTAACCCTACAACCTAGACAACTGCCTGCCTGCCTGCCTGCCTTGCCTTTTGGCCCAAAACACCAACCAACCACCCACAAGAAAGAACCTGAACCACCTCTCCCATGTTTGCAGCGCACCCCACCAACTCCAGCCCAGCCAAAACAAATGGACCCCCCACTCCCAACGAATGACTTGACTACCAAAAAAACCGATCAATGCAACCGCGGACTCTTCCTCCTAGTCGAACTCCTCATAACAGGCGGCAAATTCTCCGCGCCCTCGGCCAGCGCCCCGATCCCACCCACCCTCTTCGACAGCCGTGAGGGTCTCGTTCTCGTGATCGCGTTGGGCTTCAGCAGCGGCGCCGCGATGTTGTTGCTGTCCTTGCCCGCAGACGGCGGCGACAGGACGGTAGCCGAGGGACCAAACAGCAGTTGGCCTGTTGTTGTCGTCGGCAAGTTCAGGTTCGGGTTAACCTCGCGCAGACTCGGGCTGGGGGTGTCTGAGCTGAGTGGTCGCGAGGGGGACCTGACTGGTGTGAGGTTGACATCGGGCAGGACGATGGGGCTCGCTTTGTAGGGCGTGGGCGACTGCCGCATGGCGGCGAGCAGCTCCTCGTGAGCGCCGGTGCGCGGTAGGTCGGTGGGATATTGGTATTGTAGCTTCTCGGGCGTGTCGCCGGTTGGCTCGTACTCGTGCAGCTCCGTGTTTTGGACATCCTCGCGCAGCTCGGCCAGCGGCTGGCAGATATCCTCGTCGAGCGGCTCGAGAGCGTCTTCAAGTTCCTTGGCACCGGCGTCCATCTCATCGCTGAGGTTGTGCACCCTGTCAAAGGTCTCCCTGAAGTGGCCCGAAATGTTGTCGAACGACTGCTCTACGGTTGTGTTCAGGCTTTGCACGGACTCGACGTGCCGCTCGTGGTGGCTGGCGTTGTGCGACTTGGCCCGCGAGACAAAGTCGTCCAGGTCCTGCATCTGGACGTCGAGGTCCTGAATCTGCTCCTCCACGACACGCACGGTTTCCGCATGGACGGATTTCGTCGTCGTCTGGATCGAGGTGCTGTGCTTGTTTGCCGTCTGGAATTGTTAGCGAAACCCACGGAAGAGGAATAGTCAAAACCTACCGTCCAGTCGTCCTTAAGCCTGGTCTTCAGGGTATCCCTGGAGCTGGTGACGTCCTCATGCACCTTGCTATCCCGCTCACTCCACGCGTCCATGCCCGCCGAGTACTCAGCCACACTGCCCCCAAACGTCTTGTTCGAATCTAGGATGGTCTCCTGGATGAGCACCGCCTTGTCGGCCAGACGGGACTCTTGAAGCTCGGCCTGCGAGGTGATGAGCCTCGTTATTTGTGAAAGCAGCGCCTGCCGCTCGGCGGCTGCCTGTGTCCGCTCTTCGTCCAGCACTTCCTGTATCCTCGTCGAGACCGACTGGTTCGACTCGACAACCGCTTGCGACGCCTCCTCCAGTTCCTGCCTGAGTCTATCAGACTCTGCCTTTTGCGCACGCATGTGCCGCAGCACCTCCTCAAAAACGGACTTGAAGTCTTTCCCGAGCGAGCTGTATGACGTGTGAAGTTGGCTATGGAATGTGCCCAACTCGCTCAGCACGTCCCCGGCAATCCGCTCGGCTGCCGCAGCAATGGCCTGGAGACTCTCGCCCACGCGCTGTTTCACGGTGTCCCGAACAACCTTGATCTCTTCCAGCACGCTGTCCATCTCCTCCTTTGACCTTTCCTGCTGCTTCAGCACCTGCGTTCTCGACTCGGCGAATTGGGTGAGGTGCTCATCGAGGAAGGCCTGCGTCGATGACAACTTTTCCAATTCCTCCCTCACGAACGCCTGCATGCGCTGCGAGATGGCCGAAATGTGCTCCTCCTGGTCCTGGCGGAAGTCCCCGATGCGACCCTCGACAAGCTCGGTAATATCGGCGACGTGGGCTTGCGACATGTTCCACGTACTCCGGTTGAGGTTCTGCAGTTCCGACTTGCGCCTGCTCTTGGCGTGGAGACCATCGATGTCGCCGACCGTCCTCTCGAGCGTGCTGAGCAGGTCACCGCCGAGGACAGCTAGCTGCTCTTCTGTATCCTGGTGGGCTTTACGGAGGTGGGTTTCCTCGGCGAGCGACTTCTTGGTGGCTCCTAGGACGATCTCGGTCTGGTCGAGCACCTCCTTGGTCTCGTCAAACAAAAGTTGTGTCCCCTCATGCTCCTTCTTGAGACCCATAAAGTTCGACGTCACCGACAAGAGTTCCTGCAGTTTGTTCTTGAGATTCGTCTCGAGCGTCTCGATCTTGGCGCCCTGCTCCTCCGTCAAGATGCGACGCGACTCGTTTTGTACCGTCAGCTCCTCGTACATGTCGTTTGACAGGTAGACGCCGTTGCGCAGTCGTGTGGCAATGAGCTCAGTCTTGAGACGCTCAATCTCGACGGTGAAGTCCCGCAGCAGCGTCTTCTTGCTCGTCAGGGCATTCAGCTGCGGCTTGTTGCGAATGTTCTTGGCCCGGAAGGCGTAGTCGAGTGTCGAGATGGTCTCTTCGAGATTGCTCTTGGCCGGTGATATTGTCGCAATAATGCACGTCTTTGTCCGACCGCCGAGCGAGTCTTGCAGCAACCGCGTAAGTTTAGACTCTCTGTAGGGAATATGAGAACTGCGGTCGACTAGGGCGTTGATGACGCGCCCGAGGGTGAGCAAGCTCTTATTGATCAGCCCCGCCTCGGCCGCGCGCTTGTTTTCGGCCCCTGACCGCTGAATGTTTTCGCTGCCGGCCAGATCGACTAGGTTTAGCTTGCCCAGCATCAGGTAGTCCTCCCCGTTTTCCGTCTTTTGCTTCGTGTATACCGTAATCGTAAAAACTGTGTGACTTCTGCTGCTCAGGTCGTTGCACTTGGTGGCCGCCACCTGGCGCTTTACGCTGCCTTCCCGGAGCCACTTCAGACCATCGCCAGCATTCATGATGTATCTTTCCTCCATGCCTTGCACAATCGTGGTGGAGAGCCCTTTCCGTGATGTGTCGTCGTATATCTTGAGCTTCGCACTGTCGTCGGCGGAGAGGAGGTCCCGTAGCTCCTCGTTGTACAATTCAATGAAGGAGCATCGAACCGAGTTTTCTTGCTCGTCGGCCTCGAGCTTTTTGAAAAGTGCCTGGAGCACTCGGGGGATAATGCCGGCGTTATCGGCGAGCATCCCCATCGTCTCGGTCAGGTCGCCCGACATGGTGTACGTCTTGCCAGTTCCAGTTTGCCCGTAGGCAAAAATGGTGCAGTTGTAGCCAGAGAGCATCTACTCATGTCAGCGGCACCCCAGGGAAGACTGAATCTTGACACTGCGGATGCTTACCTCGTCCAGAACCGGCTTTACCACCTCCTCAAAGACCATATTCTGGTCCGCAGCCTGCGAGAAGACGCGGTCGAAATTGTACGCCTTGTTGCTGACGGCATTGGGCCCCATCGAGAGGTCGACAATTTTCCCCTTGGTCGCCTCTGTCCTCACCACCACGGCGCTATTCTCCTTGACCTCCCGCTCATTCCGGCCACGACACCTCACGACGACGTTGATGTTGGTAGCCTCACCGTCGTCGGGGTCAAAGTCGCGCTCCTTGCGCTTCGCGCCTGCCGTGGCTGATGTTGCTACCGACATGAGCGAGTCTGCTGGTGATGCCGCTCGAGTGAACCGCGATGCTACCGACGCGTTTCGTGTGGGTCCGAGCCTCGATGAGGTCGTTGGGGCTCCGAGTCTCGACGAGGTGCCTGTGGTCCTTACTCCGGGGCGGATGCTGGACCGGCCGGCGCCAGGCCGAGACGGTGGCGCCATTGACGTTTGTCTGCGCTCCATTAGGAGCAGGTCGCGTTATGTTGTGATGATTGTGGTGTCGGCGTAACTTGGGAAGCTAAATAAATTCGACGGTCGCAAAAGTTGATGCAGAAATCCAAGAGACGAGTCTTGGGCGCGTCCTGTGGCTCGTTTTGGCAAGGCACACGGACAGGGAATGCAATGTTCTGTGTCGTCGAGCAGAAACGGCATGTTCAACTGGTCCGAGTGGGGATTGCATGGGGTGATTGGGTGCTGCAAGCGCGACGCAAAACAGTGTGGAAATCCCCAAAAGCGCAATTGCCGTGGCAACCATCTGCCCCACATGCTTTTTTCGGTCCCGACACTCCAGGGGTGACGGACCCACCTGCTCTGCCCCTCTCGAGCCCCTCCATCCCGCGTTTGTCGGTCTGAGTCGGTCTTTCCAGTGCCTGCCGGATGACGTCTCGGCGCCCGCCTGGCCCCCGATCACGGGGCGCTTCGCGGTGCCCGTCGTTGTCTTTGGAACCTTCGTTGTACTTCTGATAAACCATAGCCCAAATTATTCGCATCGAGCTGAAGTTGAACTGTCTACCCGTATCTGGTCATTCACTTTTTTCTCCCACTTTCCCTTACTGAGCTCCGCTTGAACCACAGTTGTGGCATTCCACTGCCGTGACAGCGGTGACTGCGGCGACTCCAGTGACTGTGAGCCATCATCATCAACCAGCATCCGCAATGTCGTCGCTATTCTCGGCCCAGCTCCACCCCGGCCGGGCGCTGGGCTTCCTCGTGCTCGGCGCCTCTCTCCACGACATCTTGACTCGCCTCAAGGCCGAGCCCCAGCGGTTCCCGAAGCTCGACCTCATGCACACCCCGACCGACCCCGTGAAGGAGCAAGTCATCCTCGGCCTGCCGGCAAACGGACTACGCATGCGGTTTGACGGACC